TCTCCTTCTCTGCCTCCCAAGTAGCTGGGACCACAGGCACCCGCCACAATGACTGGCTATTTTTTGGTTGCAGCCATCATTGTTTGGGAGGCCCAGGCTGGATTCCAACTCGCCACCTTAGGTGTATGTGGGTGGTGCCTTAGCCACTTGAGCCACAGGCGCCAAGCCAGTCCTTGAATTTCTAATAACAACTTTACCTCCATTCTATTAATCTTATTTTCAATCCAAATTCTGAATTCTATTTCTGACATCTCAGCCATCTGTTTATGAATGGGATCTTCAGTTGTGTCCTCCATATCATTCCTTGGGGTAGTTGATCTACTCTGGTTATTCATGTTACCAGAGGTTTGCTGCTGATTCCTCCCCATGATTATTTAACACCATTTGGCTAATGAGCAGATAAGGTGAAGTTGGGTTGGGGGTTTCTGGCATAGTGATTAACCAGCCCTTTGTTCAAGAGCTGGGACTGGTGTCTTTACCTTTTCCTCTAGAGCTTTGCACAGGACCCATACAGTGCTCCAGCCTGAGAAACTGGGGACCTGGTTTGTGTGGTGGGGCTAAGTGGCTCTGTCTTTTTTTCCAGCTGGTCTCTGTCCTACCCTAGTGAATCAGTTACTCTGGGTTGAAGTCTCAGCTGTGGAGAAATACCAGCAATTAAGTCACTTCACCCTCCATGGGCAACAACTGGAAAAGGAAAATCAAACCTTCACACAACCACACACCCAGGGTACCACTTTGGATAGTCCCTGGGTGATTGGCCCAGTCCAAGAGGTCCAAATCAATTGTCTCAGTCAGCACCCAGTCTCCAATGGGAGAGTTCAAAAGGTCTCTGGAAACTAGATAGCAGTGGTCTGCTGGTAGCTCAAGTATGACTTGCTCCAATGCTCTTTGAGGTCAGAAGGATCCACCCAGCAAATGAATTAGCCTGGGAAGGTTGATGCCTCCTTCCTTACCTTGCACCTCTGTCACACCCAGTCACTGGTAACCCCACAGGGCTGTGACCCAGTTCTCTCCAATGAGTAGATGCTCCAGGGGTTTGCACCTGCCTGAGTCACAGGGATATCTATGTTTCCTTGGCCAAGCTTTTGCTCTCTGCAACAATCCGGGTGGGGGAGCTGAGGCCTGATAACCTTGGGTGGTTAATGGAAGCTGGGCAGTTCACTCAGTTCCAGCCCTGCCCTTAATTGATGTTGCTGACACTTATATTTTCACAGAATTTGTTTTTGTCCTGGCTATATTCCCCTATGGACCAGGCCAGAAACTGCAACTCAGCCCTGGTCTGTGCTGACATGTCTGTCTCCACTGCTCTCTGTATTGGGGTGGGTGCAATTAGAGCTCACACTCAGCTCTCAGTTCCTGCCTTTGCCTGCCTGCCTTTGCCTCAGCTATGACCCCCTGGGGGCCTGGTGCATCTTAGGCTCACTAAAGCAGTCCTTCTAACTCAGCCCCACCCTGGGAGTATGCCATCTCTGTGCTCATGTAGTTTCCGTCCCTGCTATGCTCTACCCAGTCAGGTACTGCCTCAGGCATACTCTTTACTCATGGGGTCTGTGTTTCTGTCCCAGATCTGTTCCACTAGTGGCTGCCACCAGAGAAGATGCCTAGCTTCCTCTGGTTGCCCAGAGAAGCAGGGAGTGTCTCTCCAAATGTCCCCAGGGATATGAGCCCTATTGTTCCCACTGCTGCCACTGCTGATCTGTGCTGTGGGACAACGCCTCTTTCTCTCTCCCATAAGGTTCCCTCAGTTCACCAGCTTCTCCTTATTCCCATGCTGCAGAATCAGCACAGACAAGTAACAACCCACACCCTGTCCACACCTCTCGAGAAAATGCCCAAGACTCTGGACTCTTTGGGGCACAGGCCTCCAGACCTCAGGGTGAGAATGGAGGCGAATTCTGAGAGTTCAGAATTGCAGGTAGAGAATATATACAGTTTTATGCCTGGTGGGGAATTGCCATGGCACATTTGTAGGTCCTCTCTAGGGAAGGAGTTCCGCTTTTTAGAGGGTCTCTCCTGTTGGATAAAATAGGAGGGGATCTGAACTCTGCTCACTTGTTTGTATAGAGCAGGTGTCCTCAAACTATGGCCCACAGGCCACATGTGGCCCACCTAGGACATTTATCCGGCCTGTCAGGTGTTTTTTGCCACCACTGCCTGTCCTGCTTAGCAGCCAACTCATCCCAGGGCCCACAGTCTGGCCCTCCAACAGTCTGATTGACAGTGAACTGGACCCCTGTTTAAAAAGTTTGAGGACTTCTGATATAGAGTATACTGCAAGCTGTTCTCATGAGGGAGGGGACTCCTGTCCTTTTGGCAATGGATTTTGTAACTATTGTTTGTTTCCTTGGGATTGCAGCTCACCTCAGCAGGGTTGATGTGCTTTCTTCAACCTTCTCTCTTGGCTCAGCTCTAAACCATTGACTTACTTGTTAACCTTCTGTCCTTTAACTCTCCTTCTGGATGGAAGCCTCTATGGAAAGCTGGCTCCAGTTGGCCATCTTGCCTCCACCAGCTATTATCTGATTTTTAACTTAGTGTCCTTTTTTTATGTCAAATTTGTGTGGGCTTTGTCTTTGACTTTTTCATCACTTTCCCGCTTATGTCATCTATTCCTATCCTGAGGTATGTCAAGCCTTCACTTCTGCTTTTTTCTTCTTTGTTTCTGCAATGCCCTTGTTCCTTTGTCTCTGAAATATCATTAGCCATCTCAGAGCAGCTTGGGGTGTGGGAGTGGGGAACTGACACGAGGTTGGCCCTGCACTTCTGAGAGTGCTGGAGCTCTAGGACTGAAGGGAAGGGGTTGACTTGAAGACTGAGATCAATCTCCAAGGAACTGTGGACTCCAGGCCAGAGCCTGCCTTTCTTCAAGCCCAGGCTCCAGGAATTGCTGGTCCAGTTTCTATGAACATGGCCAATAGGCCTACACAAAGAAAGATTGGGGCAGAGTCTGGACTTCCAATGGGAGTGGACAGGAATGAACTGGTTAGCATAGGAATACATGCTAAGCCCAGGACAAGACCTAGAGTCCCTTAGATTCCATCCCTAGCCCAGAAGCATGCCAGTTAGGGAGAGCAGGATGGCACTGGGCTCGGCCTTACTGCCTTCTGTTGAGTCTCCTGAGCCCCCTCAAAGCCCCCCTTCTGGCCTACATAGTTAACCAAAGCAGGAGCTCATAAAGTTCATTAATCCAGACTTCCTGCCTATGGAGTTTGGGGGGGGCTATGACTGACCCTGATGCCAACTCCAAGTGCTTGATCAAAGTACAGGAAGCCCAGAGGGCACATAGGAGGGGAGACAACTTGGTTTAGTGCCCGCTCACCCACCCTGGTCCACAGATCAACTAGAGGAGTGAGGTGCCTAGGAGCTTCTACCTTCACAACCAGGTGAGGGCACAGTAAGAGCACTCAGAGTCTATGGGCTGCGGCTCTTCCCTACAGGTGGAGAATGAGATCCTGTTCCCAGGCTGTGTGCTCAGGTAGGGATGGTGACCCTAGAGGAAGGCTTCTCCAGAGCCCAGGCACGTGGTAATCTCTATAGCTGTGTCATCCACTGCAGGCGTCAATTCTAATCAAATGGTGGGGACATCAGCTTTGGAGTTTTCCTGAAGACCAAGATGGGGGAGCAGCAGAGGGCTTGCAAGATGATAGAGGTGCTGCCCAGCCAGCACTACAATGCCCACCTGGTGCCCCAGGATGGGAGCCTCATCTGTTTCAAGGCTGGTGTCTATAAGTGTTGGCCAGGAATGGTTCCACCTGGGTTGGAGGAGGGTGCCTTGATGTGCATTCAGGTCCTACCAGGTGAAGGCCCTTAGTTGTGGTTGGCAGAGTGTGGGGCTGGCCTCTCAGCTGTTGCAGTGATTCCCTGGTCTAGTAACCAAAAAGGGATTTACCAAAAAAAAAAAAAAAAAAGGGGGGGGGGATTTGCCACATGCAGGGCAGGGTCCAAGCTGAAACATCTTATCTGAATGTCTGTTTCTCACTGCAAATGTCCTGAGGTTTGACAATACCTACAGCCTGGTTCATTGTAAACACATCAGCTACACTGGGGAGGTGCTGTTCCCAGACCAAATCTTCATAGAGAAGATGGAGAAATTCTAGGTGAACCTTCTGGCCCCACATCCTCCTCTTTGATCTCTGGATCTACACAGCCTTACCTGGCTAGACCCCCTCCTACCTCTCTAGAGACAGGTGGCAGACTGCCCAACACAGCTAACCTGCTCCTCAGGAACTGCTGGGACAGTGTCCTAGTGGTGGCCAGATGGCTTCAGCAAAGCAAAACAGACCACTATTACATGTGGTGGCCTCAAGCCCCACAGAAAAGCCAGGTCTTATTCTATAAACTGACACCAGAAATGCGTTACTGTCCTAAAATATAGTGTATTCATAGACAATATGACATGAGCCAACAGATCAGGAAACAATTGCTCTTGAAATATAGTTTATTACTCACAGTTCCCTTAAACATGGGGCATGCCATGCCAGTTCATGGGAGTGGGGGAAGACATTTTGGCTCATGAGGGTCTGTCATGAGGCAAGAAAGAGAGGGGAACTTGGGTCAAGAAATTTTATTATGGATTCTGCAGGAAGGAACAGGTGAGGCAAGGTAAGCAGGCTTAAGATTTGCTAGTTTGAATAATTTCAGCAGGCTCTGTGGAATAGGGTCTGTCCTTATTTGTCTGGTTATGTGGCCTTGGGGTGATTAGGACAGGTGGATAGTGGGCTGGAGTACGAGAATCTGATAAAGGAGGTGGTGTGTAGGCTTCTATCAGTTTGTTTGTATTTGAAAAGCATGCTTGTGGGTGAGTTCCTTGCTGGCTCTAGCTAACCCTGGGAGGCCCATTCCCTCCTGGGTCAGCAGGACCCAATGTGTTAAAACATCAGAATAAAGAAAATAAAAAGAAAGGTTTAATATATCAAGTTCCCTGGCAAGCAGTTGTGCAATGTTGCTCTGAGTAGAAATGCAACCTCCCAGCTTCTCTATCTAGAAAGGACTTCTGACTTTCAATTCTGTCTTACACGCACACACACTTTCCCTTCCAGTGTTACAGCAACTGAGAATCTGTTCACCCTCTGTGTCTCCATCCAAGTTCCCTATTAAGATTTCAGATTGACTGCTCATACTATCTGGGTGTCAGGCCCACGGCCTCTCTAAGACAATGTTGTCCTGTGATCAGGCTCTTTGGGTCTGTCTATGCTGTCCGCAGAGATTCTGCCTAAGTACCCCACCATTTGCACATGTTACCCCAGGTTGTTTGCAGTGTGATAGCCCCAGCTGATAGCCAAAGTACTGCCCTAATTGGCTACTTTGCCAGAAATGTCCTACCCTCCCAACAACCACTAATCTATTCTCTATCCCTATAGTTTTGACTTTTCCAGAATGCCAAGGAAACGGAATCAGAACACCGAGGCTTTTGTGTCTGGATTTCTTCAGTTAGCATACTGCCTCTGAGATTCATCAACATTGTTCCGTGTGTTAATATTTGGTACCTTTTTGTTGCTGAGTAGTATTCCTTTGTATGGTGCTTCCACATGGTGTTGATTTGTTTTCCAGTTGAAGGCTAGTTGAGTTGCTTCCAGTTTGGGGCAATTATTAATAAAACTGTTTATAGGAAAACAGCCTGTTGCAAGGCAAGAGTAACACAATCTTTTTTTTTTTATCTTTGTGATGTAGTTTCACTGGGTCACTATGGGTAGAGTCCCAAAGTGTCATAGCTCACAGCAACCTCAAACTTTTAGGCTCACGAGAACCTTTTGCCTCTGTCTCTGAGTAGCTAGGACTACAGGCACCTGCCACCATTCCCAGCTGGTTTTACTATTTTTAGTAGAGATGGGGGTCTCACTCTTGCTCAGCCTGGTCTCGAACTCCTGAGCTCAAGTGATCCATCTGCTTCAGCTTCCCATACTGCTAGGCATGAGCCACCTGTCTAGCTGAGTAAAATCATCTTAAAGCAAAACCATTCTAATGACTGATGTTTAAGCACTGAATACCAAGGAGGTCCACAGCAAGGTCAAGAAACTATTCCTGTAGCAAATATTACTGCTCATAAAGATGCTTACCTAAATTCCCCAGTGATCACGAGAGGTTCTTAGGCATGACCCGCTGCACTGTTTTACCAAAAACACTGATTATATAAAAAATCTTGGGAGAGAGTGGTTACAGGGATCCACCATCTCACAGCCACCTGAGACATGGCTTCATTCATAAGTCTCTATTAAATGTTTCTGAGAAACTGGATTTGTCAGGCTCTTTCTTTAACCTCTCAGCTCCCCTGGCCTTTGGGGGTAGGACTGCATAGACCTGCCCCTTGCTGAACACTGTTATAAGTATTTGTGTTCAGGTTTTTGCATGATGGTAACTTTTTATTTTTCTTAGGTAGATACCAGGAGTGGGATTCCTTCAGGGCCCTATGGGAAGGGTACATTTAATGTCATGGAAAACTGGCCTGGTGCAGTGGCTCACACCTGAAATCCCAGCACTTTGGGAAGCTGAGGTAGGGGAATTGTTTGAACCCAGGAGTTTGAGGTTGCTGTGAGTTATGTTGCCACTGCACTCTAGCCCAGGTGACAGAGACCCCATCTCAAAAAGAAATGTCACAAGAAACTGCCAAACTGTTTTGTAGAGAGGTCGTGCATTCCACCAACACTGTAAAAAATTCTATTTGCTTTCCCATCCTTGTCTTGGTTCTAATAAGTATGTGGTTATGTCTGGTTGTGGTTTTAATTTACATTGTTTTAATGACCAGTGATGCTGAGAATCTTTTCATAAACAGGACATGCTCTGTGGGATGAAACAGCCCTGAGCCCAAGTGCTGTTTCTGCCACTCACTGTGTGGCCTTGGCAGCTGACTAGCCCCCTTTGAGCCTCTGTTTTCTCCCTGGGAATGGGTGAGATAATAGTGCTGCCTCATAGAGTGGTTTCTGTGAGGACAAATGACATTCCACAGGCACCAGCAAGCACTCAGGGAAGGGCAGTGCTCTTGGGAGCTGATAACTAGTTTTGCGGCCTCCTAGGGACCATGTTGCACTATCCCCCAAGCCTTGTGTAGGTAGCTTTGTCTCACCTTCCTGTGCACCCTGGCTGCCCTGTAGGCCTTGGTGCCAGGTGCCAGGTGGAGATCAGGAGTTCTGATCTCTAGGGGCACTCTGGGCCTGCTGCCCTCTCCCCCATTTTTCCCCATCTAGATGCTGGCTCCACCTTCAGCATAGGCAAACCCTGCCCCTGGTCTCTTGCATGAATGCCTCAGAAACTCCCTGATGCCAGAACATGACCTTCCCCCTTGCCCTGTTTCTGGACTTGTCTTACTTTAGCCAATAGCTCCAGGAATGCCTACTCCTCCCACGCCATGTGAGAGCTGCTCCTCACTCCACCCTACAGGGACACCCTGTCCAGATTTAGGCCATGTGTCTTCTGTTCTTGGCCTGTGCTGGGTCAACACCTGCTGCTTTCCACTGCCATTAACTTGTGAACCTACACAACTTCTCGTGGACTCTTTGAATGGTGTGTGCCTCTCCATACCAGAGAGAGTCATTGGTATTAATAGGTTGTATCCATCATAGTTTATGAAGCACTGTGGAGAGGGAGCACAGACAGTGGTTGCCCACTTGGGCCCTGGGCCCTGGGTGCTGTGAAAACCATCTCCTATCTCAGCTCTTAGTATACTCCCACATCCTGTGGCTCAGTGTATCCTTGGCCATTGTGGTGATGACTCTTTTTTTGTTGTTATTTGTTTGAAAATATTTCCTTTTTCATTTCAGATTAATATGATGGTACAAATGATTAGTATACAGTCTGCATTTGTTAGGTAAGGTCCCTGTTGTAGTTGTGTCCTGCACCTAGGAGGTGTGTCATATACCTTACATTGTGCTCATTAGGTGGGAGCATACCAATCCATCCTCCTCCCTCCTCCTTTTCCCTCCTTCCCTCTCCCTCAAACATGAATTAAATTGAGTTTTTTTCTTGTGTGGGTGTGTATAAATTCATCTACTGGCTTCATATTAGTATTGAGTGCATTGGACACTTGCTTTTCCATTCTTGTGATGCTTTACTAAGAAGAATGTGTTTCAACTCCATCCAGGTTAATACAAAAGATGTAAACTTACCATCTTTTTATGGCTGAATATTATTCCATGGTATACATATACTGAAGTTTATTAATCCATTCATGGGTTGATGGGCACCTGAGTTGTTTCCATATCATGGCAATTATAAATTGAGCTGTGATAAATAATCTAGTGCAGATGTCCTTATGACAAAGTGACTTTTTTCTTCTGGATAGATGCCTAGTAATGGGATTCTGGGATCAAAGGAAAGGTCTAATTTGAGTTCTCTGAGGTTTCTCCATACTTCTTTTCAAGGAGGCTGTATTACTTTGCAAACCCCATGGTGACAACTCTTAACAGTTGGGCAGGCAATCCCTTTGTGCATGCTCCAGCTCAGTGGCACTTCCCACCATGCTACCCTGACCAGGTGTCAGGGGCACCATTCACCATGGCCCTCCAAGAAAACCTACAGCCACATCAGGGACTGTGCACCTCAGGAGCAGTGGGGTGGGAGGCTGGGTCCTTGCTCTGTAAGGCTGTCCTCCAGATGAATGTTCATTAGCCAACCTAGATGGCCTGATCACCTGGGTCAAGTCCACACACCCTCCTAATGCACTTTGTGCCTTTTTTTTTTAAAGCACATACCAGCATGTTAAAAAAGTCTCCTAACTTTTTTTTTTGGCCAGGGCTGGGTTTGAACCCACCACCTCTGGCATACGGGGCTGGTGCCCTACCCTTTTGAGCCACAGGCACTGCCTAAGTCTCCTACCTTTTATTTCAATGAATTTGAGTTTGATTGATGTTGGACTCTTTTCCCTAACACTTATAACTGAATAAAGTCTGTCTTCATTACCCCTAACTTGTGTCTGGCTTTGTTTATCTCTGACACTACCAATTTGGACAGTGCAGATGTAGGATGCAGCCAGGATTGTGGTAAGTTCTATCAGGACAGCATTATCAACTCTTTCAAAGAGAGGACCACCTGAGCCAAACTGATCCTTCATCTCCTAGGAGATGACTCCTCCAATAAGTCAGTTCAGCAAATGATGCAGTATTTT